GACAGCTTATTCACTTTCACTAACATCCCTTTGAGATGCTGGGAGATAGTGGAATTTTTTTGAAAATCTTGTCATTTTGCATATTTTGTTATGACACCTCTGTCTCTCACAATTGTTAGAAATGGATAGTATTTACCCATTATTTTGCTTGCGATTGATTTGCATACTGTTATTGCATATTGTTAAATAGTTTGCTGATGAAAAACTAATGCTGATTTGTACTAAATGTAGTGGAATAAGCAAATACATTTGTAAATTTAAATATATAATTTAGTGGCTAAATTGTATTATACAACTGTTAGAGATTATTTTAGACCAATCTTTTGCAGGGAAACCCTGTCTACAATTTTCTTCCATATCCTATTTTAATGTTTTAAGCTGCCCTCCCATTTTAAAAATTAATTTATATGTCTGGGTTTTAAAGCAAGTACTACTGCAAAGTCCAGGGTTAAGATAAATTCTTTTAAATTCAGAACAAAGAGGTCCAGAAAAGACTTAAGTATTTAGTTAGAATATATTTTCATGACCTTGACTGAATCAGTATGTTGCATATCATTATCAACAAATTCACTTATAGCATTATAAAATATTTATTAATATAATTATCAGTTATTTGAATAAATATAAGATACTTATATTAATACAGGATTACTGAGTCATAGAATTTCTGAACTGTTAGGAAACACTGATGAGGCCTTTGTGGTCCAGAGAGGTTTGGTAGTCACATACACAATCTAGTTAGTTGTTGAGCCAGTTATGTGAATTGTTTAATATATTCTATACTTGAGTCCTATACATATGCTTATGCTTTGGTATATTTGGTATTTTTAATTATCCCCTAATATTTAAAAACTTTCAATCACCACTTTTGATTCCTGAATTCTTCTTCTAGACATATGTATGGGCACTGAGTTTTTAAAAATTTCTGCTGTTTTACATACACCACCAATATTTTCAGCTTGAAAATCAATCTAAATGGTAAAGAGAATAGAAAAATAATATAGTATAAATATTTTAACATGTTTATGCTTTTTAACATACATTTTAAAATGCTCTGATAAAATTGTGCATTTCTGTAAGAAAGTATTAAGTTTGATGACTGAAAACAGTTCTCCAAAAAATGTAACTCACTTTAATTTTCCATGTTCTCTTTTTTTACTAATAGTTTTGTGGTCCATATCTTTAAAGCCTAATAGAAAGAAAAATCACTGGATATGACATTGGGAGACAGACCCAAGTCTGCATCTACATCCTCACACTGGTGACTTTGTGCTTCTGTTTCATTTTCTTTAAAAGGAGCAGTTCAAACTTCAAAGATGCCTTCCCACAAGTCAAAGGTTTCATGAGCAGCAAAGAAGATTTGACTGAAAGAAATGTGTGGGCATCATCACTTGGCTGCCCAGGATTTTTTATGCACATAAACGTGTTACATACATCTGAATTGCTTGTAAGGAAATTACATCTTTTAAAGATGAGATATGGACACCAAGAGAAGTGGGATAAGTAAGAAAAGGAAGGGGGAAGTAAGTTAATGACAAAGGAGGAATGGTAAGTGGTTGAAATGAGTCCTCTTTTACTTCTTTGTATCTACAGTCTAGTTATTCCTATTTGAAAACTTACTGGCACCAGGTACTATGAACAGGGATGAGTAATATGTAATTTTAATCTTTACTGGGTTACATTTGGCTCAAGGACAGTTGACAGTTGTCAGTCAGGTGTCTGGTCAATGAGGAGATACATATAAAGCTGCCAAAATATTTTTGTTTCTTTAAATACTTACAAGTAAATCATTTTAGCTGGAAACTTCATTGTCTTGAAATTAAATAGATTGATACTCAGAATATAATTTATTGAAGTTAGTCACCAAAGAATCAAGATTGTTTTTATGAATATACAAAGTAAGCAAAATGTTTTTCAAATGTTTTTATAAATCAGAGGAATAATTATTTTTCTCTATTATAAATAAGCTGGCCTTAAGATATGAAACTGTATTGCAAATAATGCTTAAAATGCATATATTTTCAAATTAGCCTTTTAGGGCACATATGAGTTATTGCAACTTTAAGCCACAGTTTCTCCCCAGGACTTATTAAAATAAATAATTTCTATATTTTGAGGGAGTTGGCATTGGTATTTTTGTGACATGAAAGCTGAAGTTTTATCAGAAAAAGACAAACATTTAATTGCATGTCAAACTATGAATTAAAACTTCTTTCAATAATTAAAAGAAAAAGCCCTGGAATTTTAAGTCAAGCCCACAATTCAAGATGTGGTTAAAATAATAAATTTTAGTTATTTAGAAAATTTTTGCCTAAACCTAACATTGTTACTAGTAGGTTCAGTCACACTTTAATAATACACAAATGCCATAGAAATCATTTGGAAGAAGTTTTTTATTGCTTCTATTTGATGTGAATTACAAATAGTATAATCATTGTAACAAATAGTAATGTACATAAAAATGTAATCCTGAAGTTGCTTAAGAGTGCATGTTCAGTTGAGTTGTATTTAGTTATCTCTAAAAGCAAGTGCTCTGATTCTCTAGGGATATAGTATTTAGCTGACCAGATAAATAAAAATAAATCATCAAGTGGGTGGAATACACATTCACTCTTTAAAGGACTAATGAAGTTCTCTAAAAAGTTTAGCAGCTATGGTTAGTCAAGTGTCAGAGTCAGTATAATGAAGAAAAATTGTACACAAAATAGTACTTTGAAACCACAACATATTCCTGTTTAAAAATAAAATATGCTTTAATTTTCTGAACCATATTCTACCTATAATAATTTATAATGAACATTAGAGTTGGGTTTTAATTTTTAATATATGGGTCCATTAAATGTAGACAAGTTTATGTTTCTAAAATATTAGATTTTTTTGATTAGTTGGATCATTTCTGGTAATTTTTAAACCACAAATATTTCATAATTTTAATTAGCAATTGTTATTCTAAAAAAGTATGATACTTATAAACTTGTGCTATATCTGTGTCATTATTGATTTGTAATTTGTTTTAGATATAGTGATCATTTAAAAAAATCAGATCTTATAATTTTCCCAGTATACAACTACGTTAAATATGTGGATTGAAAATTATCTATGGGATCATCAGAATAAAATAATTGTCTCATAGTGTTAGTAATTTATATTGGTGGGCCTTTCTCTTCTTAGGCACCAGTTCTACCCCCAACAGCTCAGAAAATTGATTTTATGCATAATAATTTATAGCATTCTTGATCGATGTATGCTGTGTGTCTTTTACATTCATTAGCTCATATTGCTTATGAATATGGAGTTTGGTTATTAAAATGGTTTCATATGTTTACTATGTATAGTTCCTAGCTTTGAGCTCCTTACTTGCTTAAATAAATGTTTTCAATTTGCTATAATACAACAATTTGTACAGAAATGTTTGAAGCATGGTTAAAAGAATGAGTTATTGAAATAAAATAACTTCTAAAAAATATGTCTTAACATGTGTTCTCATTTTTCCATGTTTTGCATTAATTAAAATCCTATTCTGAAAATAAAAAATATTTTTGCCTAAACTTTTGAATTCACAAAATAAAAATACCAACTATATAAATGTACTAATTTTGGAAATCAGTGATGTAAAAATATGTTTTAGAACTGTCTTGGTTATTTATTTCAAAGAATTTTCTCTAAAGAAACTTTTTCTAAAGTAATGAGAAATGTTGCCACTTTTAATTATAAAATATTCTGTGCAATACATTTTTTAAACAGTGTGTTAAAAATAAAATTAATTTAATATTCTCCCTACTCATATTCCTGTCACATGCACACATAAAAAAAATACCAATGCATGAAATGCTTAAAAGGAGCATGTACCATTTCACATTTTTACTTGGAGATTTACTTTAAAAATAACATTTTATTCACAATAGATGATGGCAGAGTTAGGAAAAAAAGAGATGAAATAATATTTTTGTATTTACTTAAATTGTCTAACATCATATGTATGATTAATTCATCTTTCACATATTGAAGATAGTAATGAAAGAGACCAACATTAAAAATATAAAGTATTTCCTTTAAAGGAACTTTTTAAAAAAAGTTAAAAAAGCTGTCAAGTAGTAACTGCTCCACTTTCTATACTAGGCAAACCCACTGCTGAGTTAGTTGGCTCTGATTCCAGTGGTCTCATCAGCTATCTGAATGTAGGTACTTCCACAATGCCTCTTGTAGGACAACAAAATCAACTTTTAGAAACTAAAAAATATATTTTGGCAATTGAAACTCACCAGTGCCTTTCTGCTTCTCCAGGAAGTTGTACCCGTCAGCACCTGCTGAGGGCTTTGTTGTCCAAACTCTGACAGGTAAAAAAATTCCTGTAGAATAAAGCCAGACCAGCTGGCTTTGAAGAGAAACCCCCCAGTTTGGGCTGCGTTTGCCTCCTCTCCTTTTCTATGAAGACCCAGGCTTTCCCCCCTTGATCGTCAAGCCGTAAGATGCGTGATCCCTGTGCACAAGTGTCTGGCAGGCCAAGGTGCACCTGTTCCTGTCACTCTGGAGTAAATTTAGCTGTAAAGGTATCACTGACAACCAGACCTTTGTCAGTGCTGGCAAAAGAACACAGAACTGCTCCCCTCCCCTCCCCCTTTCCAAGCCCCCAGGCTGCTAGTTCAAATGGAAAATATCAAATCAGAAGTCTATCCAAAAATCATGCCTAAAAAATTGAGATTGCTTTCATATGGTAAAAAACTAAGTTTCCTTATTTCATACAGATTTCAAAATTACATTTCCAAGAATAATCTTGGAACAAGACAAGTTTTTGTTCAATTAATTGTGGTTGGAAACTTGTTAATGGAAACATACCACACACTTCCTTCATTTCAGGTTATTAAATTGTGTTAAGCATTAAAGTTAGTTGCCATTTGTTCCTTTCTATCCAAAGAAATATTAGAAAGCTAAAACTTATCACATAAGAGGATTAATCATACTACCAAAATTAGAAAGCATGTAGTTCTGAGAGACTGAATGTCAAAATCGTATGCTTGTAGCGCTTAAACTATTGGGAACCTAGGGACCCACCACAACATTTAAAATGGCAGCTAATGTCTGCGGGTGTTTAGGAGATGGTGAGAGCTGGCATTCTCTCTTAGCCTTTCATTAAGGTAAGGACATTTATCATTTATGTGATTTTTTTTAAAAGATGAATTTCTTTACTGATAGTTGGAGAGCAATTCCTTTTGAAGGAAAGTAGAGAGGCAAACAGTGTTCACTGATACGTCTGACATAAATACAGATATTAATAATAATAGTCCAGGTATTAAAGCTGCCCAAGGAGTAAAGTGCTTAGTTAGCCAAAGGATTCTGAGCTTCTCTTTAATAACTACGAGTTCTTAAGCGGTATTCAAAAGAGTTGTAAAAAGTACCTGTTCTACCATGTTACTGTTGTTTACAAGGGTTGGGTGTGATGAGAAAAAGTAATCTGGGTCAAAATAAAAAAAATGCTTTGTAAAATAAACAAAGTTTCTATTTACTTACTATATATAAACAGCCACTCACCAAACCTTATTTCTCTGCAGGGCACCACTTTCAGATAAAAACATAGACCTGAATGGCATCATCCAGTATCCAAGGAAACCATGTAAGTACCACTCTCACTGTGTACTTCTCTTATTCAGAGTTTAAAAGCTGGCTGAGTACTGAATAAGTGAGTGTTTTTATTTAATAATTATACAGGAGGTAATTTTTAGGAGCCAGCTAAAAAGAAACAGATTCTTGATTGCTACATGCATCACAACAAAACCCTTATGTTTTCATCATATTTCATAAAATTATGCATTTGGTCCCAAAGTCTCCATCAATGCTCATTCTTAGGTACAAAACAGCTACTCAAAGTCTTAATGAATTGAGTTTCAAATTTTTCTAAGGCCCATTAGTGTTTGAGAAAGTGTTTCAGAGGCCTTGTGCCAGGAGTAAGTAGTTACCTAATTATAATAGAACTCTTTAAATTTTAAAAGTTAAGAAAAAATTACTTGGAAAATATTTTATTGGTAATCATTTATAGCAATTTATTGGATTTTAGACTTGCTTAGACAGTGTGCAAGTGAACAAAGAGATGAGGTCATGAATTTAAATAATGCAAAGAATCTTGAGAGCAAGTGTAATTTCCAAGATGCAAAATCTGTTTCAGAAAAGTTTGGGAATGGGGATGTTCCTTTCTTTTCTTTTCTTTTCTTTTCTTTTCTTTTGTCTACCCCCAAATTAATGTACATTTTTGTAGCTAATATCAAGGCTGTAATTAATTTTTTGAAGTATGGAATCTGCTGTGGAAATTTTGTTTCCAAACATTATGCTGTTCTGCAAAATGATTCATTTCTAAAATACTTGGAATATTTTAAGTATTTATTTACCTGAGTTTATTATTTTAATAGTTGTATTATATACTTTCAAAAAAGATTTTGTTTATATGTTTTTAGAGAGAGCAGAAGGAGGGAAGAAAGTGGGAGAGAAACATGAATGTGTGAGGAATACATCCATCGGTTGCCTGTCACATGTCCCCAATTGAGGACTTGGCCTGTAACCCAGGCATGTACCCTAAGTGGGGACCAAATTGAAGACCCTTCAGTTCACAGGCCAGCACTCAGTTCACAGGGCTACACTAGCCAGGGTGCATTATATACTTTTAAAATCAAATCTTTCAATGCTAAATGATTAATAAGGATTAATCATTATTGTTTATTTTTATTAAAATACTAAACATTCTCTCTATACTCATGTAATTATGGATCTCTCTCTCTCTTTTTACTATCTGGATCAGCTATATGGTTTATCTAGTATTTTAAATACAGGCATTTTACTTTTTGTCAAGGTTTTCAGGAGTTGTATTTCAGTGCAACTGGTTTAACCCTGTGGTTTGGGAGTTTTTCATAGCATTTTCATTTACTTTGGTTACTCTTGTATTTCTGGTTACTCTGCAACATGATTCCTTTCTAAGCATAAAGCATAGAGAGAATCTCACTCACAGTTTCTCTGCTGAATCAGACAGACCCTCATATTCAATTTCTAACTGCAGGAACATTCAACTTCCTCCCATAAGGATGTCAAGTGGCATTGTTTATGCATTTCTGTGTTTCTGTCTTTTCATGTATGTTACAAAAATGCTTCTTTCTGAATTGAGAGACGATAAGTTGTGTTAGACTAAGGAATTTGCTGGAACTTTGGAAGTGTGTAAGAACCTCCTCACCTGGTAAGGGAACCTGGCTAGGAAGTGAGTTTTTTAATGCTAGTTACAAATTTCACAAGAGTGTAGTTTGAGGCCTGAACTACTCTCCTCTAAAGTAGGAATTCCTTGCCACAAAATAAGGGTTTGGCCTTTGCTGGATAAACTTGGAAGCAGAGCAAGGTTAGAATAGGTCTTTATAAAGAAAGAAAATGCAAATTGAAGAGGAGGACTGACTAATGTTATAATTCCCTATCTTGAGGAAATGGAATCTTTTGAAATTCCATTGTCTTTGTAGGGAGAGAAAAAAAAGAAAATCTGCACTGCAATGGCTGTGGCACATTTTTAACTATTTACATTAGAATACAGATTTTTTAAAGAAAAATTATTTAAGTTTGATATGATTGATTCAACCTCCTATATCAAAAGAAAAATGACGATAAAAATAAATTAATATATGCCATCCATTTATCAGTAGTGGACTCTTTAACAAAGACCATTGTTATTCAATAGAATTTTCTGTGATGATGGACACATTCTATATGCTCACTGTCCAGAATGGTAACCAGTACCCACATGTGGTTATTGACCACTTGAAATGTGGGTACTGCAATGGAGAAACAAAATTTTGAACTTTATTTAAATTTAATTAATTTAAATTTACATAGGCCACATGTGACTTGTGTCTACTCTAATAGTGTTCTGTTTTCATCAGAATTCAAAATACCCTCTTGCAAAAAATTTTTAATCTGTTGGTATTCTGTCATACATTATCACATTTGATATTTACTTTAATATTTGAGTTATCAGCACAATGGAATTGCTTTAAAACTTTTTCCCAGAAATGAATGTTTTAATACTGTTAATGGGAATGCATTATAACATTGTTTTATAGGCCCGGGGTAGTAAATGACCATCATAAACAAGACTGTGTCTAAAAAGAAAACATTCTAAAGAAAGTTCTAACTATGGTGATAAATATTTTGAAAAGTTCAATCACAGTTTTGCAATACATCCTTGCAAATAATTCCCAAAATGTAACAAGCCTACAAAAATACTCACTAGCCTTGATTCCCCAAAGCCAACTCTGCTTTCAAAACACATATCAAGTTTTAAATCTGTTCTCATGACCTTTTCAAGCATTTAGTGAAAATGAACATTAGGATGCATGATGATTATTTTAATAATATTACTAGTACATTAATATTATAGACAGAATAATTACTTAAAATATGCTGAGAATTTAAAATTTACTTTTTAGTTATTGGTTATTTGTAGTATACTGAACTAGAGACAATGAAGAAATTTTTTAAAAATATGAGATACAACAATCATCTTCATAGGACTTCACTGGATTTGGGCATATCCTTTTGGATGGGCAGCCTTCATATGGCAAGAGGAGAGAGGAGAGTTCTTTTGGCAGAACATTGGACAAGCTATTCAGAGTGTCCCTGTTATTGCAAAACAATCAGATCCTAGATAAAACATACTTTCTCATGAATTATTTGACTTGAAAAAAATTCTGGACATCTCCAAAAATTCCTCTCCCTCAAATGAAAAGGAAAATACCAAACAGCATGAGTGGAGTTGAGAGCAAAAGGCAAACAGGAAATGCGTGAATGACAAGATTGATTTGGATGAGTCGTATTGCAAGGCTGCTGTAGGCAGGACAGCGGCGACATTCTCTATTAGACTTTCCATAAACCTAGCCATATTAAATGAACAGGAGGAAATAACAACCACCCTTATACACCCAGTTTTTTGTTCTTCTTTTATGTCTTTTGGTGTCTTCAATTAGGTAGTCAACAACTTGTATAATGCCAGATCTATTTTCAGAAAAGAATGTCTATCCTAAAAAGCCAGTGACTTGTCTGGGGAAAATGTGGTCTTCATGAAGGGAATCCTACAAATCACAGTCTTCGGTCTCCTTGTAAAATATCACCTTTGAGACAGCTATGTCTGAGAGATCGTTTTCATTCAGAAACATGTACTGTGACCTCTAAGTCCTTGACCACTGTTTCAATTTAATAGGTATTTATTTATATATTTTAAAATGTATCTACATTTTATTATGTGAATTCTAAACATATTAAAAATAGAGAGAATAATGTAATGAACTTACATATAACTATACCTGCCTTCAATAACTATCATCTCATGGGCAATTTTGTTTCATCATTTCCACTTCACACTTCACTCCAGATTATTTTGGAGTCAATCCCAGACCTGATGTTATTTCACCCTTTAACATTGCACAGATCTTTCTAAAAGATTAAGAGTTGCTTTTTAACTGAAAATACGAACCCCATCTAAAAAATGAATTGTATCTAAAATGTCAATATTTCCTTAGTATTATCAAATATGTAAAATCAGTATTCAGATTTTTCCAATTGTCACATACATTTTTATAATTACTTTTTACTCTTTGAAAATACAAACAAGATCCATTCATTGCAATTGGTTGATATTTCTCTGATCCTTTAATCTATAGGTTTTCCCCTCTGTTAATTTTTCTTGTTAAGGAATCTGGATTATTTGTGCTGTCAAGATTTCCGTGGTTTATATTGGTTGATGCATTCCTGTGGGTTTGTTTAATAACTTCCCTTGTCCAATGTCTTTCCTATTGATTAATAATTAGGACTAGGAACTTGACCAAATTTATCTGGAGGAGGCTGGGCAGGACTACTGGTGCCCTCACTTTTTGTGATAGTAGATTTTGATCAACACATCCAATTATTTCTTAAGGTTAAGGAATACCCATTCTCACACAGTTTCTTCACACATTTTCCCAATGAGTACTCTGCTAAATTCCTGAATGAGACTCTGTGAATCTCAGCCCTTTCTCTGTGCCAGGTGCTCTCTCCCGGGAGCTGTAGCTACCTTCTTCTCCCGTTCTGTCAGCTCTGTTCTCTCCTGCCTCTTGAGTTACCTTACATGTGTCACTGCCAGAAAACTTTCAAAATGGTAAGCAAGGGAATAATGAGATTCACCTCCTTAGCTTTTCATCTCTCAGGGACTACTGTTGTTCATGGCCCATGTCTTAAAAATAATTGTTTCCTGCATTTTGTCAGAGTTTTGTTGTTATTGTGGTTTTAGGAAGGAGGGTATATCCAGCCTCTTTTAGTCTATCTTGGCTTGAATTGGGAGTCTCACCAATTTTTTCTTAAAAGATAGTTCATTCATAGCCTATTAATCTAAACAACATCTTGAAATGCAGCTCAGTATTTCAAACAAACTGGAAAAATGTTGCAATCGAAGCATGCACGTGTGTATCTGTGTGTGTCCCCTTCGAGCACTGCTATCGTCTTAAAACTGCCAGAGCATTTCAGGGCCTCTTGGCTGACACTATCCATCCTATTTTATTTTCTGCCATTTAGAGGCAATTTCATGGTTCATTCATTCTTTCCTTCAACAACTATTTTTGAGTACCTACTGTGTGCTTTATAAAGTGTTGGAGGTAGAGTGATGAATGACACTATTATCCCTTTAAAAATCTTATAATTTATCTTCATGCTGAAACTTGTCCATGAATGTGCATAAGTGCTTTGTTTGTAGTAACCCCAAACTTGAAATACCCAAACGTCTGTCGATGGATGAATATCTCCATAGTGTGGTGATACCCAGACTGTGATATATCCATAGTGTGGAATACTATTCAGAAATAAACTATTGATATGGGCAATGACATGGATAAACCTCAAGAAAATTATGCTGAGTGAAAACGTTTGTCATAATAGGGTATCTTATTGCTTATATCCACTTATACAACATTCATAACATAACATAATTGCAAAAATGGGTGACAGTTTAGGGGTTGGCTGGGTGAGAGGGGAGGGTAGGTGGCAGGGTTGTCATGAAATGGTAGTACTAGGGAGTCTTGTGATGATGGTACACTTAAGTGACTTGATTGCGGTCCTGGTTTTGCAAAACTGCCCACATGATGAAGTTGCATACAGATACACACACACAAACATGAGTAAGTACATGTATAATTGTTGAAATATGAGTAAACTCTATGGGTGATACTAATGTCAATGACCTGGTTTGATATTGTAGATATGCAAGATATGAACACTGGGGAAAGGGTACACAGTACAATACATTTCTTTGAACCTTCTTGTGAACTTCTAATTATTTCAAAATAAAGTGTTTTTTCTTAAAAATCTTGCAATTTCATGGAGAAAATAAAGAATTAAATAGCCAGTAATAATACACTATACTAATACCAAGTTAAAGAGGAGCACTGTAGAGTATGTGTATGAAGGAATACCTCATTCCCATTCCCAAGTCCCTACCATCCTTTGTCTCCTAGAACTTCCCAGTCAGGTCCTGCTTTTGTTTGAGAGGCATGTAGTTGCAGTAATGGGCTTGGGGAATGCTTGTGATCGACTCTCATCCCCTTCCACCACACACAGTGATGTGCCCTACCCAGTAAGTCCTCAGCAAAATACCTTAACCATACAAGGCAAACATTTTATAAGAATGAGCACGTATAAAATAACAGGAGTCTCGTGTTCTCACAACACTTCCAAATGTAAGTTCAAAGATCCATTCTAAATATAAAAATCAATGAGTTTTGTGTTACACATGACTTTGGCTCTTCTCAGACCCTATTCTGCCATCAGCACCCGTCAGCCAGGGCTTCACTCTGATCTGTTTAGAAATAGCCTTTGTATGTGAAGACGAGCTCATAGCTTCAGTGAGTTTTGGATATACATTATCACTTGTTACTGTAACTCATTCTAATTCAGTGACAGATTGTCACATATTTTGAGTTTTCATAAGTTTTCAAAGATTTTCCCACTGGGAACGAAGAAGAAAATGTATTATTTCTGAATGTTGGGGGACATACTTTGTTTTGTTGGTATTTAGTAGGAAGCACTGGAAAAGCCACTCAATATAAATGTATGATCTTGTCACATTGTGATCTTGTCACATATATTAGAATTTTTATTAGACTGTGTCTCAATTTCACAAACCCATGAATAGGTGGGCTTATAACACATATGCTAGAAATGTTTAGATATTTTATCTTGTTTTTTCAGAATCTTACCCTCCTCTCAGTGTCAGGAAACCTCCCAGGAGCTGTCACCAGAGGAAGGAGGTATCTGAGTCCATACTTGTGTGTGCTACTGGGGTGTTTACCGGGCAGAAAATGTTCTCAGAGTTTTAGATCTGATCTGAATCTCCTTGAAATAGAACCTCAGTGTGTGTGTACAGGCAGCTTTGGTTTGTATCATTTACCTTTATTACCATAGTAGCCTATTTGAAACTACCTACATCTACTTTGTAAAATTCACACCTAATTTTATTTCTACAGCTCATTCTTTAAAAACAATGATGAAATGGTGGGGTCTTGAACTGTTTTTTTTAAAGTTTTGTTAAGATAGAAAGTATGTATTTTAGATTTAATAGTTCATTTATTATTGATCCCGAGACTTTTCTTCATTTTTTTTCTTGTGGCCAATTGTATACTACTTTTCACTTTTAACATTCCATTAATTTAGATTTTCTGAAATAAAAACACCGTTTTTGTGCTAAATCACTTCAAACTATTGTAAGAAAATATACCAGAATGTCAGTAGTATAGCTGACTTTCATTTCTTCCTCATCTTTCAGTAATTTGTGGTGGCTGTGTGATCCTGAGTTTTCTATGGCCCCAATCTTTTCTGTATCCTCCCCTATCTCTGTATAGCTGAGAAAATTATTACTTATATTCTTATTTATATATTTAAAATGGACTGTTTAGGTTATACAACATATTATACATTATTTTCATACATGTTTTCTTTTGTACTGTCAATACTAGAAAATTACTGGACAATACTAGTCTAAAGACCTCTGAGGAAGAACACTTTTTTGAAGTATTTCATGCTAGAAAGGGAGGATAACATTCAGCAATTTACACTGATATTTTACTATGATTATTTGATATAAAAAACTTTATATAATGAGACACTCAATACAGTCCTCCTAATAATGTACAGCTAGGAAAACAAGAACATCTCTCCCAATGAGGTGAATCTCTTGCCCCACTCTGATCCAAGTAAATGGCATCAGTATGGATGCCTCCTTTTTCTTCTGACTGATGGAACAATTGAGCAAAAAATTCACACTGCAGAATTACAGGCCTTTTGGGGAGGGCCTTGGTTTTGCGTTGGAGTTTTGCCCCACTCCCTTTGTATTATTTGCCTTGATGTTGCCCCTTATTTTAATGATTTTATTGTAAGTTACAAAAAAGCTTTTTTGGAACTGAGGAAAACTACATAGCAAGTAAAAAAGTGAGTGAGCCTCTTATGGTACGATCAGCAACACATCATCTCTAGAATGTGGCAAGCCTCACATCTGTGGCCCTTCTCCCTGTTACACATGTGAGGTTCAACACGTGTAGCAATACCAGGCCAGTACTCACATTTGGGATTGTAAATACAGAGCTGCCTCCATCCATGACTGTTACCCAAATGTCAAGGAGACAGGTCAGAACGGCATTCAAAGGGCACAGAGAGTGCTGAACACATGCAAGCAGCTATAGGTACTATAGTATCAAATTAGGCCATGGACAGAATGACCTGGAATACCTAAAAATCAGATGGTTGTTATCACATCTGATCATATCTGTGACACACCACATCGTGGAGATAACATCTAAAGATCAGAGGAGACCTCACAGAGGCCTAGTCCCATAAGGAGAGAAAAGGGATAATTTCTTAAGGATAGAGCCACACAGGCCCCCGGGATGAAAGCCCACAGGTGTGGCCTCCTAGGTCTAGTGGACTACACAGATTCAAGTTGAGAATGAGCAGTAACGTGGGATCCCCGCAGTGGTAGCTGGGCCACCAGATGTGCCTAGTGAGGAAGAGTAAGACTCTGTACATGCTTCCTAATTTTGTGGGGTTTGTTCCAGAGATTGATGGGCCTGCTGCAGGGTTGGGGGCAGGATCAGTACATTCATCTCAGCTTTGCTCCCTCAAACAAAGGTCAGGAAGGGAGATGGTAGTAGTGCCTGCTTACCAACTGTAGTGATTATATTGAGGTCAGTGCAACTTTTTCTCCAAAATTAATGTTTCAAGGATATTTTGGCTACCTGGGGGGGGGGGAACCTCTAGTAGCTTCCCAAATCTATGAAAAAGCTTCTTGTTAATCCCTATTGCTCTCTCCAAAATATCTTGTAATCCTATTTAATAGTACTAAAAATTCAACCCAACACAAGTACAATCTTAAGATTATTGGTATATTTGTATTTACTAGTGTAGTACAGGGTATGCAGTTGGTGCTTAATGAATTCTTGCTGACTGGACACAGGACTTATAATTGACCTTCCTAAGCTTGGTCCAAAACCATGTCCATCAAATTGTTAAATTACATCCTTGAAAAGAAAAATCACTGTTTTCTATTTGGAAGGAGAAATACAAACATACACATTCACCAATCTTTCTTGCTGGTTTCTAACTGATTCTATGGAAAAAAAGAAGATTAATAAAGAGAGTGCTACTACTTTTGGTTAAATACCAATAGTGTATAATAAATGGTTTTTGTCAGAAGAAAATATGACTATTGTTGTATATCCTAAATATAGTAATGAAATAATCCAGTTTGTGGTTATTTGAAGCATTCATTCTTTCATTCAGTAAAAGCCTCCTGAACACCTGTTATGATTAAGACATCGTGTGGGGCACAGGGAATAAAAAGGTATAATTCTGACCTTCAAGTTGCTCACATTTTATTGGGAAAATCAGATGGTGCCAAAGGCCTCTTTAAAACATTGGTAAGTGTAGAGCTAGAAGCTAGCTACTAATGGCAAAAATATTCAATAAGTCCAATTTTCACTCTGTTTTTTCTTCAATGGTATTGGCTAGTAAGTATTTTTGGGATAAATGTGTAGAGAGTGATTTGTTTTTAAAGAAGTTGCATTATTTGGCATTTATTACATTTTATTTATTTCCTTGATTGATTAATTGCAGTTAAATTACCTTAGCATGCTAGAGCAGATTTTACAGATTTTGACATATGATTAAACAGCATAAAGCATAACTAATGTGGTTTTAGTGGCATGCTATGTATTAAAGCATAAAATTTAAACACACACTTCATCAGGAATTTTGCAGTTACAGTAAATTAGAAGGATTCAGATACTGGAACTCCTTCCATCTCCCCTTGTTAGGGAGGGGCAGGGATTTTATGATTCAGATTATTATGGAAGAGTGTCCTGACATAACTGATTGACTTCAGTGATAATGCCTTGAAAGTTCAAACTCAAGGTGTGCACTTATTTCAGTCAGCTTATTCTGCATGTTTAAATAAGAAATACTATTTCTGGATATTCTGAATAACACGAACATTTATTCCTAATAGTGAGCATTTGGACTAATGATGGATTACTAATGAGCATGTAAATGTACCACCTGATTACATTAATATATGATCTTCCATGACAAGGGCTGAAATGAACAGTTCTAATATGTATTTCTTTCCCCCAAATGGCACTGTGGTATATACTGAGCAGGACTGAGACAAGGGTGTTTTCTTAAGAGCCATTGATTCAGTCAGGTATCAAAAATCATGTTATAATAAATACCGTTCTAAGGATTTTGAGTAACCTTTCAATAACTGTTACTTTGGAAAATCTGCCAAATGTGTTAAATGATAAATTTTGAAGTGGTAGTAATTGCAGGTATGGCTTTATAGGTAATATAGCTAATTGATATGACCCTCTCAAACACACACAACATGCCAGCTGCTATGAAGCTGGGCGAGAATAGTGGTGTCTGCGGCATTTTTGATGCATTGAGGATGACATGAGTAAAATGGAAACTCAGAGTGCTCACCAGGGTCATACTTTCATGGACACCTGATGCCCATGGTCAAGTAAATTTTTAATGACACATAGTCACTACACACCTTTCAGCCTTCTGGAGAGGTAAGTGTACATTGATCTGTCCTAATTAGCCTTGCAGCACACTTCAGACATCCCTGCATGAGCACTAATATTTAATAAAATGGGAACTGGTTTTTGTTTTTACAAGCTCAGCACTTGTTCTTTTGAAAGCTGTATTGCTGTTACTTCTTTTAAAACTGAAGCTGCATGTTCATTCTTGTCTTTGTTTGATGAGGTAGTATTAATGCAACTGCATAAAAAACTAAGCAAAATTAAGGAATGGATCTGATTATGAAGGTTCATTGCTTTCATAAGAAACCCATAGAGCACACATCAATTCCTTCCCTAATGTATAGGGTGCTGACTGCATAAAATTACTTGGAAAGACATTAAGGATATGCAGAAAATTGTATCAAGGTGTGCAATAGGATGCTTTTATATTTGGCATTTAAAGTGGCTCTGGAATATCTGATTTGGGAGATAAAAGGTAGCCAAAACAGTTTGTAATTGCTCTAGATCAAAACATTTATGTGGGAACATCTACTTGTTTTTAAGAGTTTCATTTTCATCTGAGTTTGGAGTCTATAACAAAGAATCCTGAGTTCACTCAGTGTTGGAGTAAATCAAACATTGTTTATAATTAGCTGATAGGATTTGGGGGTAAGGGAATTTCTAATATAGATGCTTCTTATAATTGTGAGGTTATTAAGTTCCAAGCAGGATAAAGACCAGATGGAGTTAAATCTCATCCCAGGGATAAAGTCTACAGCCAGAACTTCTTAGAGGCATGGATATCTCCTAGTGGACATGGGTCACTGGTTACTGGATGTATTTGCTCCTAAGAAAATGGAACAGGAGTGCATTCCTGTCAAGTTGTAGGGCTGGCTGTTGATGACAATGTCTGGAGTTGCCCTTATGTTACTAGGAAATCAGGCATCTCTTCTTGTTGTTTCATGGCCATGGAGTCGGCTATCAGGCTCCACAAATGCCTCCTTTACCTGCTTCCTGGTATCTGAAGTTAGAGGTGAAATTAGAGATGAAAATCTTCGTATTTTATAAATACCTCTAGAAATAGTAGCATTTTGTTTAAATCAGATTCATAGAATTCAGTGTGAGTGAGTTGACTGGCTCTTTCTGGAGAACAGGTTTTGAAGGGGAGGTGGGGAGACAAATATGAGGACACTGGGTGACTGGGGAGTAGCAGAACTGCCTTTGGGCACAAAGGGGAGAGTTGGGTGAGACGAAGGGCACTGAGTGAGCAGAGGTCCAGATTTACTTTCTTTACAATATAGAGACACTTCTAAAAATGCTAGCACTTCTAAATATGTTTTAAAACACCTTTAAAAACTCTTGTTTCAAAACTGAATTTGTTTTCAATTTTATTCAGGTATAAACTTCATCATTTTATTGTTATCATATTTTCTTCGAATGACCCAGTTTATTTACTCCAGAGGCATTTATTGAACAACTACTATGGGCTAAATAATGTGTCAGATGCTAAGGAAAAAACAAACAAACATGATTCTCACCTATGATGTTTAATCAGCCACCATGCTTTTGCTATCGGTAGCATAGAACCTAAATGGCTTTAGTAATGAAGAAATTTCTTGGCTCATACCACTGAAAGTCCAGGGTAGGGTGGAATTCAGGGATATTTTAATCTAGTAGTCTTATTTTAGTTTTCCTTCCATTGTTTTCCTTTCTAGATAAGCTTCACCGTTGGCTAGCAGCAACATGACTACCAAGTGAAAGGGGCTTTTTCAGAGGTGTTCTAGAAGAGCTAGAAAAGCTTTCCCAGAAGCACCAAAGAAACTTCTTCTTAGATTTTATTAGCCTAAGAGAGCCAAGATTATGCAGGCAATTACAGGAGTTGTGGTTGCAGATATGTGTGGGTTCAGTGAGATTATTGAGGGTAGCGTCCACGGTAGACTAATGGAGATGGGGCATTCAGAGAAGGCTACATGGAAGAGATGCTGCCCAAACTAAATCTAAGAGGTTGAGAAGGGAAGAGGAGGTGAGAAAAGGCATGTAGGGAGTGAGGAAAGTGGGTGTGCAGACACAGAGGTGAGAGGGTCCATTGGACCAAAGCAGCTATTCTTACATATCCTTCAGATCTTAGCTTCACCTCATCTTCCCTAGGAGGTTTAATAGAGCCTTGTGTGGTTTCAGTTTCCTGTACTTATCCCGTCTTAACACTCACCAAACTTCACTGTTACTCATTTCGCTGCCTACCCTTCTCCATGAGACTCTGTGATGGCTGCATCCATGCTGACTGCTCTCTCTATTCCTGGTGCCTAGCATGGTGTCTGGCACATGAAACACACTTAATAAGTATTAATTAGATGTATGACTGAAGGATTTATTATTATTTTGTTAAATGACAGCATTTGACCTGTTTATTTCTATGTTGGTAACTTTCCTGGCCCAGATTAGAGTTCTTAGAAATAGTCATAAAATGTGGGCAGTGTAACTGAGTCTTGAGGATTCTGAGTAGTTTTTTGACTTTCATATGACTATTTTGAATAGAATTTTCTTGAGAATAGTTATGTGTTTTTATATATTATATAATTCCAAAGCAGGGGAAGACTTATTTATTTATTGATTTTTTTTATTGTGGTTCAATTACAGTTGTCCCCATTTTCCCCCATTGCTCTCCCCTGCCTTGCCCACCTCCCCTCTCCCACATATAATTCTCCCCACTGTTGTCCTTGTCTGTAGATCCTTTATACATGTTCCTTGACTTGACACTTCCCATTATTTCCCCAATTATTTCCCTGCCCTCTCTCCTCTGGTCACTGTCAGATTGTTTCCATGTCTCTTGTTCTATTTTGCTCACTTGTTTGTTTTGTTGATTAGGTTTCACTTATAGGTGAGATCATATGGTATTTGTCTTTCACCGCCTGGTTTATTTCATTTAGTGAAATGCTTCCTGTTTCTATCCATGCTGTCATGATGGGTAGGAGCCCTTTCTTTCTTTCTGCTGCATAATATTCTATTGTGTAAATGTACCATAGTTTTTTGACCCATTCATTAACTGGTGGGCACTTAGGCTGTTTCTAGTGTTTGGTGATTGTAAATAACCCTGCTATGAACATTGGGGTGCATAGGTTCTTTTAAATTGGTGTTTCAGGATTATCAGGGTATAATCCTAGCAGTGGAATTGCTGGGTCAAAAGGCAGTTCCATTTTTAGTTTTTTGAGGGAATTCTGTACTGCTTTCCACAGTGACTGCAGCAGTCTGCATTCCCACCAACAGTGAACCAGGGTTCCCGTTTCTCCACATCCTCACCAGCACTTGTTTGTTGATTTGTTTATGATGGCCATTCTGACAGGTGTGAGGTGGTATCTCATTGTGGTTTTAATTTGCATCTCTCTGATGTCTAGTCATGCTGAGCATCCTTTCATATGTCTCTGGGTCCTCTATATGTCCTCCTTGGAGAAATGTCTGTTTAGATCCTTTGCCCATATTTTAATTGGATTGTTTTTCTTCCTGGCAAGGAGTTGTATGAGCTCTTTGTATATTTTGGATATGATACCCTGCTATGAGGTATCATTGGCAAATATATTTTCCCATATAGTTGATTCCCTTTTCATTTTGCTGATGTTTTCTTTAGCTGTACAGAAGCTTTTTAATTTGACATAGTCCCATTTGTTTATTCTTTCCTTTTTATCCCTTGCTCTAGGGGGCATATCAATGAAAATATTGCTGCATGGGATGGATATCAGAGATTTTCCTCCCTATGTTCTCCTCTAGGACTTCAATGGTGTCGTGACTTATATTTAAGTCTTTTATCCATCTTGAATTTATTTTTGTGTATGGGGTAAGTTGCTGGTCTAGTTTCATTTTTTTTTGCATATGCCTGTCCAGATATCCCAACACATTTGTTGCAGACGCTATTTTTATTCCATTTTATGCTCCTCCCTGCTTTTTTCAAATATTGATTGAACATAGAGACATCAGTTTATTTCTGGGCTCTCTATTCTGTTCCATTGATCTATGTGTCTGTTCTTATGCCAGAACCAGACTGTTTTGATTATAGTGGCCTTGCAATATAATTTGATATCAGGTGTTGCGATCCTTCCTACTTTGGTCTTCTTTCACAAAATTGCTGAGGTAATCTGGGTCATTTATGGCTCTATAAGAAATTTTGAAATACTTGTTCTATATCTGTGAAATATGTCATTGGTATTTCAATAGGGGTTGCATTGAATCTCTAAATTCCAAAGCAGGAAAAAACTTTAAAAGTCATCAAGACTCTTATTTGTTGGATGAATGAGTCTTTTTTCACATCTTCAAAAGATTAGCTCCATATGTAGAAAACTCCATCTTAGGTGACTTTCTGATGTTTTTTTTTCTTTTTTTTATGATTTTTGAAATTTCTAATTAAATCATTAAAACATTATTCTATTGACATTAGTCAGAAATTGCCCTTCTTTTTTCTCTGATATGTGCAATGAGTTGGGAAAAGATTTTGTTAGATTCCACTACAATGCACTTTGACTTAAAGTTTTAAGCCTAATATGTTGAAATGAATTAATGAAAAGCTGATTTTGAATAGAGTTATATATAGTATCTACTGCTCATCATCATTAGTATTATAATTTGCAAATATAAAACATACTAAATATTGAAAGTATGAAATGTTTAACTTGAAAAAAGGATATAAGAATGGAAGAAAATACAACAATGTCTCATGGTGAAATTAGTCCCAAATTCAATGTGTGGTGTTAAGGACATTTTGTGGGGTAGCAGTTGTCTGGGGGGTCTCTAAATGTCTTTAAGTCAAATTAGATGTTTTCCCAGAGTATGTCATGACTATGTGTTATGTAGTACTTGTAAACATTTTAAACTTTTTTTTACCCTTACAAGTTTGAAACCTCTTAATTTAATTTGTTCTTTATAATGCCATCCAGACAGAATAATTTTATGAAGGCCTCATTTTTAAGTTTATTTAGATTGCTCCAAGTTATAAAAAACTCTTTTAACAATGGTTTCATTAATTATAAATATTTTGCACCATATTTTTTACCCTACCTATAGTATATATGGGACAAATCCAATTGAAAGATGTTTTTGAACAGTTCATGGAGCACCACAGAAATATACCTTAAGATTTCCACTTCCTGAAAGAAATTATGGGACAATGTAGACATGAGAGTAATAATGAGAACTGCAAAAATACTATAACTTTATTGCTTTTCTCCTCACCCAAGGATCTGTTTATTGATTTTAGAGAAAGAGGAGAGGAGAGAGAGAAAGAGAGGAAGAGAGAAAGAAAGAAACATCACTGTGAGAGAGAAACATCAATTGGTTGCCTACTGTATGTGCCCAAACCAGGGATTGAACCTGCAACTCAAGTATGTGTCCTGAACAGGAACAGAATCTACAACCTTGTAGTGCACAGGACAGTGCTCAAACCAACTGAGCCACCTGGCCAGGGCTATCACTTCATTTTAAATTTAGAATTGGGTATCATTATCAAAGACCATACTCTCCTTTGTATGAAGAAATGTCATTTTCCTATAATTAGTTCTTAATGCCTCTTATCTGTAGTTTCACTTTCTGTAGTTTTAGTTACCCCAAATCAACCATGGTCTGAAATTATAAGGATTACATGGACAATTTCAGAAACAAATAACTCATAAGTTATAAATTGCTCACCATTCTGGGTAGTGTGATGAAATGTCTTGCTAACCTGTGAATCATCCCTTTGTCTAGCATCTCCACACTATATACACTCACCACCCATTACTTAGCAGACATCTTGATTGTCAGATTGACTGTCCAATTATCACAGTGTTTGTGTTCAAGTAACCTGTAGAGTTGGCTAATGTTATGTCACAATAGCTATGTTGTTCACCTCACTACATCTCATCACATAGGCATTGTATCAGCTCACATCATCATCAGAAGAAGGGTGAGTACAGTACATAAGACATTTTGAGAGGCCAAAATTACATAATATTTATTACAGTATATCGTTATATTGTTCTACAGCAGGTCCCCAGAGAATAATTTTATTTTGTTCAAGGCCATTTCTTTATAATGTTGATGAAGAAAAACAGTAAATTAATTCCCGGCCAGGGCCATTGTCTGTGTGGAGTCTGCATAGCCCCCTTACCCCCCACGCCTGTGTGGGTTTTCTCTGGGCGCTCTGGTTTCCTCCCACATACTAAGGACATGCATGTGAGGTGAATGGGTGTGTCTCAGTTGTCCCAATCTGAGTGACTTGGGGTTCAATGAGTGTGCCTGGAGAGGGCTATGGAGGGCTGTACCCTGCCTTGCTCCCTGAATTGTTGGCACAGGCTCTGGCTCTCTGTGATGCTAAGCAAATAAGTGGGTTGGATAATCATTATCTTACTTGTTTTTATTCATTTTTCTTAAATATATGTGTAGCTCATATTCATTTAATTATTTAATATTAGAAGTGTTTGGGGTCTTTATTTAGAAGTTTGGTGATGTTTTTGTAGCCAGAAATGTGCTTTGGGAATTTAACTCATCACTTAGCTTGTGATAAAATTGGTTTCATTATAGGTTTCACTTCAAGTTGCAGTTTCCAAGAACCTACCAAAACATTAAGTGAGGACTTTCTGTATTTTATTATTATTGTTGTTAATTTCTCAGTGTGCATGATTTATAAAGTAAACTTTGTCATAGGTATGTATGTATGTATGTATAGGAAAAACATAGTATATATAGGAGTTGGCACTACTGTGGTTTCAGTTATCCCCTGGGGATTTGGGGGTTCCCCCTTGGATAAGGGATTACTACTTTATTGCTATTAACAATCAATTTTTAAAGTTGTAATTTATGTATTTATATGTAAGAAATAGAAAGGTCTTTATAATTACTGAACATTGGAAACAATTTTATATTTCCCATGTAATTACCTTACATGATAGGTAGAAGGCTAAGGAGATGACCAACATGAACCACAATAAAGTGTGGTTGGATGGGACAGCCCCTGTTCTGTGGGCTCTGTTTTGAGCCTGGGAAGAAGAAGGAAATAACCTTTCTTGAGAAGCTCTCTGGAAGTTCTGCTGTTTGGAGTAGAATCACAGGACTGGAAAAATTCTTCAGGAAGTATGTGGTTCACGCTTCTCCTTCTACAGAGCATGGGACTTGGTCTTAGTGAGGTTGAGTCCCAGAGCTGTGCATGATTAATGAGCCCGTGGGACAGATGGGCTAATACTCATGTCTCCTGCTTCTCAGTCTTACGGTTGTGCCTTGAATTATGGCATGCTGCTCTCTTGGACTCCTTGATCTTGAAGAAACTGAATGTTAGACACAAAATCCTTCTGTGTGGATTCATTAAAAATATGTTACCCTGGTTTTGTAGTTTTACAGAATGGAGAATTGTTGACTTCAGAAAATTAAGGAGTTAAGCTTACTAAATACTAAATTAAATATACTCGTAATTTTAAAAAGAAAACTTATTTAGAGAACTTTTCCTAAGTTCAACAGAAGCCAAGACTCCTCTCAGAAAGAAAGCAGGCTGAGGCGGTTCAGGCGGGCGGTACATTGTGTTTTTCTTCCTGAGCGCTGGGAGATTGGCATCACTCTGCAGTAGTGTCACAGCCCGCAGTCATTTAAAGCCTCTTCTTGTGAGGCCAGGATTCCACGCCCAAGTGCATTTAGTAGGTCAGTACAGTAATTTTAAATGTCTTTCTTTCAATCTTTTGCCATCTTCAATTATACCTTTCCACCCTACTATTTGTGTAATTTTCTTCTGTCTGAAGTCTCTTTACTGTTGTTCTCTATTGCACAGCATGACAAATTACCCATCAAGCCATATCTTTTCAGCCCAGAAATGCGCAATAACACGGAGTCACGGCATTATCGCATGTTGTGCACTTTATTTCCCACAGTTCATTCAAGTGTGTCATTTTATTTTCCTGGCTTCCTTTTGTCATCATGGAGATTAACCATTTTATCCTTCCTAAACTTTAGAAACAATTAGAATTTCATTATAGTGGAAGCTGAGAGGGAATGTTTGCTCAGTACTGTATGGAGTGTACTTTTCATATTATTAGTGGCAAAATTAAAGCCATGAATCCTGAGTCCTTTATGAAGGAGAGACTTTAGAGCTTATTATACAGCTGAGTAACCCTGGCTCTGGACAAGAGAATGATTTCAGCCCGTGGCCACCAAACACATTAACTGTAAGCAACCATTTAGTCTGACATTGAGTACCTGATTCTTGCCTTCTCCTGGGAATTATGAAACTCTCTGAGGCCCATGTGTTCTGTATACAAAATCTTTTTTTCCGTGTTAGCTTTGGCTAAATACCAATAGTGTACAGTGTACAATGGGATACAATAGACATTGCAAGTATGTGTTAGAAAATCAATTGGTATTGATGTTCTAATCAGCAGGGCTGCAGCTGGTATGTAGACACATCAGTGGAAATGGTGATTAAGATCACATTCAAAAGCATTAAAAAAACACTCACAACATTTAGATAACTGTTCAGATAGATTGCTGTTTTACTGTGGTAGTAGATGAGCTGGGCAGCCAGTGATACTTCTAGATTCTGCCAGATTAATGTGTAAGATGTTGTATAACTTAATATATTTATAGGTTACGTTTATAACTTAAAAATAGATATACTTACAGGATATAACATAGTAGTCATTAGAATACAAACAAACACAAAAGTCAGCACTGACTGGGTAGCTCACTTGGTTAGAGTGTTGACCCAATGCGCTGAGATTGAAGGTTCGATCCCTGGTCA